CTGTTTGGCAGGCATTGAACTCTTAAGTGTTATCTTCTTAGCCCTGCAAGTCTGTCAGAAGTTCTCTTCACCTTCCCGGCCTCTCAGCTGCATTTTTTGGAATCAACACAAGCCCCGCTGGGGAAACAGCCACCCCAAATCCTGGGCTCATCTCCGAGTTCTCTTCTTCTGGATCTGTCCTCAATATTTTCCATTGTCTCACTAGGTCTCTGATGCCTTCAGGCTAGGATTTCCAGTTTTAGGGAGAAACAATTGCAAGACCTCTAATTAAATTTGAATTTGAGAAAAACAATGAATATTTTCTATGCATATTTAATGAATATTTTTTATTTATAAGTCTGTCCCATGTAATAACTGGGACAGACTATACTAAAAACTTATTCCCTGTTTATCTGAAACTCAAATTTAACTGAGTGTCCTATATTTTATCTGGCAACCCTACTTCAGGCAGATTGATTTCCAGGTTTTTCGCTCTTCTAGATGTTCTCTGAATTACCTGGTAGTGCACGTGGAAGATTGCTTTTGCTAGCTGGCCAACAATCTTGAATTATTCAAAATTTTTAAAAGACAAATCACCAAGTGAAAAGTTATTTGCTTAAGTCCTGGCTGCCATGAATTCCCTGTGTGACCGTGTACAAGCAGCTTTACATTTTGGCCTCATTTTCCTTAGATGTAAAATAGGAATGATAGATGACATTTGTTGAAGCCTTGTTATATGCCAGCCTTTGTGCTAAGTATTTGCAAAAAAAGTTAATAATAATTACCTACTTCACAGGGATTTTCTGAGGATCAAATTTTAAAATAGTATGAATTGGCTGGTGCATATTAAGTGCTAATTAACTGTTAGGACCAATTTGTCATAACTTTTAAATTTAATTGAACATTATACTTATGCCAGGTCTGCTACCGTCATTGCATACTGATGTCTCAAATGCTACAGCAGGCCTGCTAATCCCTCAAGAAGGGATGGGAAAAACAACAATGTTTTTGTTTCTTTAAGTGATATGGGAAGTGAAACAGTCTATACTTTCTGAATACATGTGCTAAAAAAATTATAACTGCAAACATACATATTTGTAGAGGTAGAAACTTCAGTTTTATTCCACTTTGTGAATGAGCTGGCCACTCCTGCCCAAATTTGAAAACAGATCATGTGCCAGGCCAAAGTAACCAAAATGTTATGAGGAGACCTATTTCAGGGCCACCATTAACCTATCAGTGTTTAGTTGTAAACCTCTTCCTGGAAGGGCAAGACCTACACCCTCTGGTGAGTGAAGCATGGACTAGATTTCGATCCCCTACTCACTCCTTGGTCAGACACCTTTATGTAGGATGTGCCTGAACAACTATACAGGACAGTTCTGATGATCAGAAATGCTGATCTCACAATCACCTACAGGCAAAGTAACTCATGTAAAACTCCTATGTGTTGACCACCTCATGTATGCTAGGCTTCACACATTCCATTTGCTCTGTACAACTGTACATGAAACAATATGTACAAAGTTGGCAATGGCATCGCCATTCTACGTTAACACAAAGGCTCAGAGAATCTGTGTGACTCGTTCTGTTAATAAGAGGTGAGTCAAGAATTGAACTTACATCTATTCAATCCCACATTCCTCCTCTTTCTTCAGATCACTTTGCCTTCTTAAACTTCTGTTACTACATACATGTTTACTAGGAATAAACAAGAAAACTACTATAACATAGATGCTTTGTGTTCAAACTTTGACGGCATTTTTGAATTATTATTATTTTAACTAGACAAGCAGAGAAAGATTAGAACTACTGTAGGTCTCCTTAGATAAAGTATCTGAAATAATAACCAACAATGCTGTAATATTTCTTGGCCATTGAGCCTTGATACTTTTCTCAGAGAGAGCAATAATAGCTAAAATGGGACAATTTCCTTATCTATACTTGAATCTATTCCAAAAGTAACGTAATATTAGGCCATAGAAAATCTATGTTCTCTATGAAGAATTAGGACCCAACAGGATGCTATACCTGCTCCTGGGTTAATAATAAGGCAGTGAAGCCAATCAAATGGAGCCAATAGTTCGTTGGTCATTTTTCAGCAGGTATTTATGGAAGATCCTTACGTTACATGATACTGGAGATAGAAAGATAAATAATACCCAGTCTTCTTCTCCTGGAAAAACTCAGTGTGGGGCTACTTAAACAGAGCAATTTAATGTAGCTGTCACTAAAGGCAGAGCAAAGTAGCATGGAATTTTGTGAGATGAAGTGGTTTTTAAAAATCCATACAGCGTATTATTTATATATTATATTGTTGCATGTGTTTTAACATTTGTGGATTCCCTTCACACCCCACCCCTAAATAAGAGGAAATTTTAAATAATTTAATATCTCTTTCAAGTTTGAATAGGAAATTATTTTAAATTATATAAAGTATTTAGGTTAAACAAAAGGAAGATCTCTTAATAATCAAGTTGCTAAATCCTGAAACAGACTATTAAAACTTTTCCTTAAGGAAAAAAAAAAAACTTTTGCCAGCAATTTCTCAGAAGATTACCATGCTGTGAAGGTTTCCATGAATTCTTGGCTCAAAATATGTGCTCATCTGCTCACCTAGCGATAGAAGCAATACAAGATTGTATGTAATCTCCCTGACCGTTTTTACTCAAAGCCATTGGAATAATCTCCCTTGAAAGGAAAGTGAGTAGTACCTGCTCAGGTCACCTGTTATTTAAAATTTCCTTCTGCCCAACTGAGCTTGGGCGAGGCCATTGGCCCCTCCATGCTGATCTCGCTGGCACCTTCAGGCAGAGCGACTCCCATTCTGAACTACACCCACTCAGTGTGGTTACCTAGCTCTGTGGCTCACTGTTTTACTCAGGGTCCCTCCATGATCCCTAACCTACAAGAAATCTCCCTCTCAGGCTGAGACAGTAGTGGATCTCGGTATGTAGACCTAATGTGGGGACAACGGTGAGATGTCTTGGAGAACAGGCAACTGGGTTATAAGATTGTCCACCAAGAACTTAAAAGGCAATCCGTCAACAGATATTCAGAGTCACTGTAGGGGAAGAATGATGCAAGGTATCAACACATCTAAGGTAAGAACATGTCCACCCAACGTTGAGCACACAGGAGGCCTTGTCCAGGCAGTGGGAAAGCTTAGCAACTACAATTCAATGGATGAAAAAGAGTAAATATAAATGGCTAATTAAAAATTAATGGAAAATGTTTAATCTCACTAGTAATCGAATGAATGAAATAAAAATAATAATGACATACTATTTTAAACTTATTTTTTAATCACTGTTTAATGCTAGCAAGGATTTTATAAGATGGTCAGAGTTACATTTTCTGGTGGAAGCGTAAAGTGCTTTTCGGAAAGCAATTTGACCGCAGGAACGGAGAATTCTTACAATATTCATGTCTTCTAAGAAAGAATATTGCGATATTCATATTTCCTACATCAAGGAACCTTTCTGTATCAGTTAGGTTTAGGTTTAGCTACAAATAACAGAAACCCCAAAATAAGAATGGCAAACAACATAAATGTTATCTGCAAAGGGGGCTACAAAATGTAGTACTTTAGCTGGACGTTACCATCCAAAACAAAACTGAGATTCTGTCATTAAGGAGGAAAGGGAGAATGGGTGTTGGGCAGGTAACTAGCAATTTTTGCTCCATTATCCTCGGGAGCAAACTCGAACTTAAAAATAATTTTCAAACAGTCATTCGTTTTTAGCGAAAAGCCCAAATTTCCAAAATTAGGGGAATATTTGCAAATTACAAATCGATTAAGTGATTCCACAGAACAAGGAATGTTATCTACAAAGTTTTAAGTAATTGAACATGCTTATTTAATAATGTTGTTTCAAAAAAGCAAACTGTATTGTTGTATAAAGTTTATACTCTCAGGTATGCAAAAAACACTCATAGAAGATTTGTATTTTATTTATGCTTTTTTTCATTGTCCATATTTTCATTGTCATATTTAATATGCATGCTAAGAAAATTGTAGACATTATTTTTTTAAATATTATAATTGCAGCCAAAGTCCTAGATTTGAGAAACAGGATCTCAAATTGGAGATTCCTCATGTTGTTCCAAAGAAAATTAATATAATGAATTAAGAGATAGTCCGGTAAATTTTTCAGATCTAAAGAAAAAATCCTATAAACAGTCATTTGGGAAAAGCAGGTCACCTTCAAATGACCTGAACTCAGGTTTGCCACAGATTTTGTCCTCTACACAATGAAATGCCAGAAAGTAATGGCGTCCTACCCTTATCATCTAATCATCATCATCATCACTAGCATTCACTGAGCGCCTCGTTGAATTCTAAGAACTTTTATTTGTTTGTCTAGCATCTTATGAGGCAGGTATTATGGTTAGTTCCATTGTACAAGGAACATGGGGAAAGGAAAGATAAGTGACTTGCTCAGTGTCTCACAGATTGTCAGTCATGGAGCTGCAATTCAAACCCAGAGTGATTCCCCCGAGGCCCGATCTTTTCTGCTTCCATCTATAGAACTTTGAAGAAAAATTGTGAGGCAAAGAGGTTACTGTTGATGTGTACCAGAGTTTAGAAAATATGCCTCCCATCCATGTATTTCAACAACTTCTCAAAGTCTTCCTACAAATTACCAAGATACAAATCACAATGAAGTAAATTACAGAAAAAACAGACTCGTGTTGGGCGCCAAACCACCTAAAAGCTTAGAACTAAGGGTCTAAGATCAATAACCTCTAATGGAATAGGGTAGATGCTCAGAAGTCTACAGAATGGATTTCACTTGGGTGCAAAAATGCTAAGGCCAAAACAAATCTTGATGACACATTTTTAGAGAGAAGTTAGACTTGTCCATGAGGCCACATGCTGAACCAGCACTGTCAGGTGTGGCCTGCCTGGCCTCTGGGAAGAATTAGGTTCCAGTTTGTGGGTGTCCTCTCTGGTCATGGCTTGCTCTTCCTGGGTTATATTTTATTCTTCTCAGTCCCATTTTATTTTTGTCTTTCAGCTGAAACTAAGATCTGCTTCAAATACTACCACGGAGTGAGTGGAGCCCTGCGAGCCACCACCCCCAGCGTCACGGTCAAAAACTCGGCGGCTCCCGTAAGTCCCGTCTCTTGCTCTTGGGTCAGACGTAACTCTGGTGCTTCTTCACTTTCCCACTTTGTTCTTATGTTTTAGTGTGCGTGTGTGAGTGACTGTGTGGGTGGACACACATATGTGGAGATATATTGCTAGATTATGAATAGATAGATAGACTGACAGACAGAAACACACCTCAAAATACTGAAAAAGAAATAAGGTCCGGGGGCCGGCCGGTGGTGCAGCGGTTAAGTGTGCATGTTCTACTTCGGCGGCCGGGGTTCGCCAGTTCGGATCTCGGGTGCAGACATGGCACTGCTTGGCAAGCCATGCTGTGGTAAGCGTCCCACGTATAAAGTAGAGGAAGATGGGCACGGATGTGAGCTCAGTGCCAGTCTTCCTCAGCAAAAAGAGGAGGATTAGCTCAGGGCTAATCTTCCTCAAAAAAAAAAAAGGAAGAAGATCTGAAGGCAAACATTAAAATGCATGCTGCTTTTTGTTAGAGAAATGTTATAACACTTCAGTAGATAGCAAGAGGCTTCTAATAGACTTATGCTTAATAGCAGTGAATAATAAGTCTTTCTTTGGAATACATTTTTTTTTAATTCCTTGGTTTTAAATGTTTGTATTTTCATATGTTTTAATTTCTTTTTAGGCTTATAAATAAGTTTTTGGAATAGAGTTTATAGTCTTCGACTGATTTTAGTCATAGAATTATAAAATGATAGGCCTAGAAAAGACTAGAATCTCTGGTCCTTTTTTTTTCCTTATGAAAATGTGGAAACTGTACCTAAAGAGCTTAAGTCATGTCCCTGAGTTCACACAGTCAGCTAATTACAGATCAGGGGTTGAAATCACGTCTTTTGTTCCCTGCTTTGTGGCTTTGCTCAGTACTGTGGTAACAGATGCCATCTTTTCCTCAATTACAGTCGACTTTTTCTCTTTGTGGTGCTTCTTATCTTAGTTCTTAGTCCACCTGGTTAGGTTGGCTGAAATCTCCTTCAAATGGCATTCCTTTTCCTTTTCACGTAAGTTAAAAATTACTGACTCGGGGAGGCTGAACAAAACTTTTCTGAGTCTATTTGTATGGGCCATCCTCAAAAGAGGGTTCCTGGAAAAGCCAAGGAGGTCCTGATAATGTGTTGCCAATGGTTAAGGCAGAAGGGTCAGCTAAATAGAGGCAGCGAAGCTGGAGTTGGGGCTGAATTGAACCAGAGGCAAGGTGGGCAAAGCAGGAAGGTGTTGAACACACCACAGACAGAGAAGGAAGGAGGCAGGAAGGGGAGTGGAGCTGATGCAGGAAAAGCCTTCCAGATGCAGGCGTGGCTGACTCCGCCACAGCACAGCAAGTCATGTGATGAGACAGTTTCTTGTCAGACACATTGATCCCTCAGCAAAGATAGACCTTGTCCAGTGCTAGGACTGGCCTGTTGGCTCTAGGCTGGAAGGGGAGAGGTGAGTTCCTCACTTCCTTCTGCTCAGGCCTGATGCTGTGAGTGTGGCCAGCCTTGGAATCAGACGAATCCTTATTATCAGGCAAGCTCTTTTTGGAGGAAGCTCTGTGGAGCGTTTGGCTCCTCTGAACTCAGCCTACTGGCGACTCCAGATGTAACCTGCTTCTCAGAACAATGTAAAATGCGATCTACATCATCACAGAGAGACCCAGTGTAAGCCTAAAAGAAAGCAAGACGCCAGCCACCCAGAAAACGGTGTGGAGTTGCACTCTAGACAAGCCCACTATAGAAGCGGGATAAACTGTCAACAAACGTAGTCTTTCCAGGGGCTGCCGACACCAGAAACAAGGACTTACGTCTGAGAAGAGGAAACACCATATGAAGTGATTCAGACATGTTGTTGGACAGGAAGTTTCAGGAGACTGCACTGATTCTCTGTCAGCCTGAGTCCTCTTTGTTACTCCGTGAGTGCTTGTACTTAAAACGCAGACAGCTTGAAACGCGTTGACGTGTTGTGTTGCCCTGATGTCATCTCCGTAATGACTCTCTCGTGTAAATCAGTAGACACTTGGGTTGATGCTTTAATATACGCTCCACAGTCAGCTTTTGTTTCTCTTCTTAATCCCGACACGTGTGAGAGCCCAATCGTGAAGGCTATGTGATGCCAGGGCCAGAGAGTAGTCCTCCCGCTGCCTTTTGGAAGAGGAGCACTTGGAGGAGTGGCAGAAGGGAGCACACGGTTTCCTGCAAGACACTATTTTAATGCGCGGCTGGGTTTTACAATACAGTCGCATGTCGCTTAATGACAGGGACATGTTCTGAGAAACGCATGGTTGGGTGAACTTGTCGTTGTGTGAACATCATAGAGGGTACTCACAAACCTAGGATGGCACAGCCTACTACACACCTAGGCTATGTGGTACTAATCCCATGGGACCACCATTGTGCACATGGTCTGTCATTGACCAAAATGTCGTGATGCAGTGCATGACAGTGGTTAAACTGTTAGAGGCCCTTCTGGTTCTATAGCACAGTGCACTTTTCAAAGGAGCTTTACTTGCATTATTCTAGTTGATTTCACAGCACATCTGTGAGACAGGTGGGAAGTATCATTTTGGCTAAGTGACCATTTGGCTATCCAGAGATGGGGCTGAATCAGACCTAGCTTACACTTTTTGCAACTCAGTTCAGTTACTAGTATAATCTAGCAGCCTTCTGGGTTAAATAAGCCTTTGCAGTTTGGTCTGGGGACTTAAGCCCTGTCATTGAGAACTCATACTCTAAGTGATAATACATCTGAAATGTCTGGTGCTGGAGTGTGAAAACCCATCGTGCTGATGTGTAGAGTGAGGACGGACCTGCAGCCACTGAGAAGACTTTCAGAGGAGATGCACGTAGGCTGAGTCGGGCAGCATGAATTGGACTTTGCCAGGCCTAGGAGGGAAGTAAGGCCTGGCTGGCAGAAGGGACAGCGTGTGCAAGGGCACAGGGGTATGAAATGCCACAGGCCCGGTAGGGAAGGAAACCTAAATTGTGTTAGGTCTAAAGAACATCTGATTGATTTCATTTTCTCCATATTTCACCCTGTGCTTTGTTTGTATCTTACTGGGAGCACTTAGCATATGTTGTACATTGTTCTTCTGTTTTGTGTAGAAAATCCTTTTCAAAAGTAAGCTCTTCCTCTTAGTACTTTTGCCCATGCTACCTTCCCCTGGTGCATCGCAGGCTCTCTTAATAAGCCCCATGATCGTTTTTTCCTCTCCCCATTTATACATCAAGGGACAGAAATCTGGGGCAGGCATCTCCTGGTAGGGTGGGCATCTTCTGGACAGGATGAGAGCACTCCCTCTGCCTGCTGGATTCTCCTACAGTGTGGGAGATTCAGACACATCTGTAACTGTGCTCAGGATGTGTTCCCAGTCCTGAGCACACCACTCCTCATGCCTAATTTCCAAGACTTTCCCAGAGGAGGGTTCGCTTCGCAGTACAGTGGCCACCACGTGTTTCCCTTGTCCCCAGCCGTGCTAAGGCCTGGGAACGGTAGCCTCTGCATACAGAAGATCGGTAGCTGTTGGAGGATGACTCTGGCAGGTTCAGGAGGCTGGGCCTGAGGAGTTGGGGTAACGCCAGCAGAGTGAGGGGCGGACAGAGGACTTTATGTTCCTGCCTTCTCTGGGGCCTAGTGTTAGGAGTCCCCCAGATTAGGGGCCAGACCATGTGTAGTCCAAGAATGTATTTCTTTCTCTGTCTTTGTCAACATCAAAATTTGTGGAAATTCCTTCACAGATTTCGTTATTCTGGGTTGTTCTCATCCTTCCTTCACATTGCTATTGTGTCTATCTATTAACATATTCTGTACTTCTAGCTTTTTCTGTGAGAAATTGGAAATGAACATGGCAGGTTCCGTTCCTTCTTCTACCACTTTAACCCAGTGCCCCTGCAGCCAAGCTTTTGATAATAATTGAACAGTGTAGGTTCAAAGGAAAGTTCTTTGCCAGAACTTGAAATATCTTTTTATAAGTTCATGTTCACAGATTCATTTGCTTTGTCACACCCTTAAGCAGAGGTAGAGTTGACATTCTCCTAAAAAAAAAAAGGCAACTCAGTAGGACATTTCCCTAGGAATACAGCCTAAATTCATACCCTAAGGTGAGATCAGGTCAAGATTTTCCTCCACAAATAGTCTGGGTCTCCTGCACTGACAAACAGGTGATCACTATCCCCTGAGCTCTAAATCGTTACGCTTAGCCATAGTAATATTTGTCTTGGGAATTTTAAAAGCAGATCTTTCCAAAAAATATTTTAAGTCATAATAAAGCAACTGTCGACACAAAGTAACCAATAACCATTCTATAGATAAAAGAGATAAGGTGAGTTTTACTTGAGCCAAACAGGATTATAACCTGGGATGGCCTTTTCCAGAAAGGAAGAAAGCAGTCCGGAGAAACATGGTTTTCAGTGCCCTCTTATACCTTCTTAGAACAAAGAACATCCTTTAAACACGCCCAGGATACATATTCATCAAAGTTTCAAAGAAGTGTTCAGTTGCAAATTAGCAGATCAACTGGACCCTGATGTCTGGAAAGAGACTAATACCCAGCATTACCAATAGGCTGTTACCAATAGGGCGCAGGAGGGGAAGTGTGCATTCTTATCTTCAGAGAATGCATTCTTTACTTTAATGGTTAAAGCAGATGTGTGTTTGATAGGCTATAAATCAGGCTTCTTTAGTTCAAGCCGAATCAGTTTTGAACCCGAAGTTACCCCATATACCTCAATGTGTGAAAATCTCTTGTCACGACCATGGAACAGCTACTTTAAAGTTATGAAGCTTCCTGGAAAATACTCCAACCAATTAGTTGCAACATTAATTCACAGGTCACTGACTGATGTGACCATAGCTAGAATTGTTAGACATAAGCCAATGAATTTGGAAGGCACCTTGGTTTCACAATAGATGATCTTGTGCCCTTGTATTTGGCAGAGATGAAGTGGTAAGACCACTTGTTGATTGAAGCCACTCTTCATAAGCATCAGTCATAACGTCATCAATGTTGGGGTGAAGGT